ATAATGTGTGACAAAATAACCGTTACTGATCGTCAACACAGAGAAATGTAGTCACCATTATGCCGTATTATGGCGACTAACCCAGAATTTTTGGTCGCCGAGGATGAAATGTTAGTTGCATTGGCGACCGTAGCGATCACAATTTCGAGTCCTGGGATGGCTTTTGAAATATTATGCCTGTGTTAAGCCTGCAGTCTTGTAAAACAAAAGGGCCAAATTGGCCCTTTTTTCGTTTTTCTGGGGGCCATCTCTGATTGCAACGCGGGATTCCCGCAATGGTGCGCTCTGGCCGAAACACTGATAGTCTATATGTTCTACCCTCTTGTAGTAAGATTTGAAACTGGTAGCTTACTTGCCGCCATTTGTAATATTTAACTGAGTAATTTGTTTCTCTGCAGGGCTTGCAAACACGAGATGGAGAAGAAAAACCTCGATCAAGCCAAGAGGATCAGTGCTCATTTCCTTTCGGAAAATCCCTACAGTATTAGCATGTGGAAAGTGTACCATTCACCGACTCTGTACATGTTGCATATTGAACTAATTAATGACAGGTTAAGCCTCTTGATGAAATAATAACATGGCATTTGCAAAGAATACCTAAGGCTCCTTTGATTAAACATTTCTAGGTAACATGGGAAAGGCAGCATGTTTCCTTTCTCACTAAACGTATCTTTAAATTAAGAACCATTTTAATTCTCTCATCAATCACAGATTTAAATGACTGTCTTCCCCTTGTCTTGTATTTTTTCCTCTGCTTTTCTTCACAACAGGGCCATTTCTATCGAGCTGCAGAGAAACTGTGTCAAGGAGGTTAGCCTCTTTTTATTCTTATACTCTCGATGTTTAATTTGGGGCGTTCAACAGGTGTTGTATGAGTATATTTGTAGTACAACATCAAGTACGCGCATGGTCGCATTTCCTGACCCCTCAGTTCTTGTTGTGATGCCTGTTGCTAGGTAACGTGACGTGTTCTGATGGTGACAAGCTAACGCCACACTTTTTCCTCGGGACTGATTTATGGAGTGATTTACGTGATGTTTCAGGGTTTAGTTGTTTGATCATCTCTGTTTCTTAGGCACGCAAGATGTACCAACAGGCCACCGAGATTTTACCATTCGCCGCAACTCTTTGGAAAGATGTAAAGTTCAACGACATTCGTTTTCAACCTTTGCTCTTTTATGTTTTTGTTTGTTTGTTTTTGTTTTGATTTCTTTTCCTTTTTCCTCTTTGTCTTTGTGGCTGTTCTCATTGTTTATGTGCTTTCCTTTGTATGTATTCTTATTTTTGAATTCAGGTTTTCATTTTCTCTTTTCGTGTTCACAGTTTTTGATGTTCGAGCTTGCTCGGAGTGGCAATGGCCGTGCTGTTCAAGAGATTCTGGTTAATAGTCGGCATATAGGTGTCGAACTCGAGGAATTTTTGAACACTCTCTTGGGCAAATGAGAGTGTTCTAATCATGCGAACGCAATCGTTGCCAGACTTAACTGTTTTGAAAGGTACGATTGCGAAAATTGCCTTGCTCAAAGCTTGTGAGCGGGACATACACAGGACTCTGTGTAAATGAACTTTTGGTCTCAAAAAAAAATGTTTGGTTACAGTTAACTCCAGCTTGGCAAGGTAGGCGTTATTTTAAATGCACTATCCGTCCATAGCGAAGGAAGCTACTTATTTATAGACTGCTTCAAGGGTTTTTGTGTTGATTAGGATAACAATGATGGGCCGGACAATCCCAAATTGATAGTAAGTTACTTGAGTGAAAATTAGTTTTCGCTGCAATGTCGCATTTTTCATAAATTGTTTGGCTTCCACCGGTTTTTTAAAGTTTTCTTACCTGTGCATATATACTGTAGTATTTTTCTTACAAAATGAGACTGTCGCCTGTACGAAACGATTGGTGCAAACACTAGTGATTTAAATTCTTATGACAAACTTCAGTTGTTTGTCAGCAGTATATGAATTGATTATTTTTGATGGCTATTCCCTAGAGGTATATTGCTATAATTTATTAAAGAAAACAGGAATAGATTGTTTTATTGTTCTGGTATTTTGATTTATTCAGTACATTGTATTCGTTTGTTCATCTGTGCTCTGTTTGTATGTCTTGCGTGTTACGTTGGTATGTCTCGGTTTCAAGGCAGTAGCTGGCTGGGGTTGTAGTTCAACTACGAGGGTACTCGTTAAATAAGTAGCCGGCCGAATGGTTCGCTTCCTACCGGTTCAGTTTCTCCTGTTGTGTTCTTTAATTGACAAAATTATTATTAATGTCTTTTTTGGCTGTTGTTTATGCTGCTTGGTGTGTATTTAGGTCTTTTGGTTGTTTGTATTTTTGAAGTGCTATTCAATGAATAGCTCTAGTGAGTACATAACACTTTATGTGAGTTCCTTTTGTTTGTTTATTTTGTTCTTCATTCAGAATACCTCTTAATGCTTACGTAAGCACTATAAATCCCCATTTCCCATTTAACGAGTACAGTCTGTACGTGGAAAATGCAAGTAGAAGTAGAGATTCTACAGTCGGTAGTCAGTCTAGCAGTCAGTCAAACAGTCGTTTAATAGTCAGTCAGTTAGTCATCAGACAGTCAGACAGTCAGTCAGTGAGTTACTCAGTCAGTCACTCAGTCAGTCAAACAGTCATTTAATAGTCAGTTAGTTAGTCATCAGACAATCACTCAGTGAGTCACTCAGTCGTCACTCAGTCAGTCAGTCAGCAAACAGTCATTCACTCAGTCAGTCAAACAGTCATTTAATAGTCAGTCAGTTAGTCTTCGATAGTCAGTCAGTCAGTCAGTCGTCATTGATTCAGTCAGTCAGTTATCTGTCAGTCAGTCAGTCAGTCAGTCAGTTAGTCAGTCGTCAGGCAGGCGGTCAGACAGCAGTCAGTCTGTGACTTGGGAAGTTCGTACAAGCATTGCAATCTTATTTGGTTCATCGTCATCATCTTTGTCATCTTCGTCATTATCAAAGACCTCATGCTCTCTATAACCACTGTGAACGGTTTAATACATAACAACTTTCTATATAAACCATTGTCTTCCTTTCAGTGTCTGGTAAAATTATATTGTCTGTGTCTCTTAGACGTGGAGAATTCTGTCGCTGAGTAAAATTAGGTGTCTTTAATATTTTGTTCATTCTTCAGTACCTTAACTGCTGTCTTTGACCGTAACTTGTTCTCATTACATACACATTTCTTCTTTGTTTTTGTTAAAAAAATACACATTCTGTTTTCATTATTTCCTCTTAGAGAAAAAATACACATTCATTCTATCTGCCTGACACTTTCTATCCTTTCACCTGATCCTTCATTTTCAAGAGAGCAAGTTGTGTAAGTCCGAGCGTGGGAGAGAATGAAGAAGGGAGTGAAATTATTGGGTGGGTGGGTGGGTTGGTTTTTTGTTGCTCTACTTATTTCCTCAGGTGTAGGCCTCTTAATAGTACAGCGAGGACAAGAAGTCAGTCAATTTTACAAGAATTAGCCTGCATGCACTGTACACAGTGTATGGCTGAAAGGCTGGAAATATGAACAGCGATACTATACGTGAGAAAACAAGACTGGATGACAGAGAAATAAAACCACGCGTTCGCTACCCTTGAGGGTAGAAACGTGCTCAGAAGAGTTCAGATAAAGACCTGTTTGTTCCTGAGGTTGAAGAAGACACTTGGGAACTTAGTGATCCCATACATGGCTGTGTTTTTCCAAGGGTACTGTTGTAATGTTTGTAAGTAGGACGAACGAACGAAAAACTTTTACGTTGCCCTGAGAAACCATGACTGTATGTTGTCGTATTCTAGTTTGTATTAAGCTGGTGAAGATTTTGGTAGGAACGAGAATTTGTAGAGAGGTTTTCTTGCGGCGGCTACCGTAGAACGTTTGTAATTTAATACAGAACTAATTTGACTCAAAAGATGTCATAAAGCACTAATTAGAATTTCAGGAAAGTGAAACTTATTGGCAGGTGCGAGGCAAGTCGTAATTGCTTTTGTTTTGCATTTGTGTGGAGAACTCTCCCTGATTTGTTAGTTCCTGAATTACACATTTGCAGTTTCCACTGAAAAAGATTTGAATCTTTGCCAGCTTCCTAAGCCTGTGTCGAGTAAACTGATGTATAGATGGTTTAGTGATTTTTCATTGAGTAGCCAGTTCCCCAATTTGATCCTAAGTTCATCTAGCCAAGGGAATTGTCTCAGTCTTGCTGCTTAGTGATAGTAACTGGACCGAGTGGAGTTCAATGCAGGGAGTAATCGTGCGAGCAATTTTAAAATCGGCCTAGCGCTGCGCGCTCGTCTTGAAATTACGAAAACGATTGCCCCATTGCACGACACGTGGTCTAATTGCTAATTAAACGAATCAATAACAATTTTCAGGTCAAATAATTTCTTAATTGATGAAACAATCAATATGATGATCCCCTGCTGGCGCGTCTCGTAGAGGGAATTGGCCGGTGAGGCGTGTCCAATTACAGATATCCAATGACGCAATGTTGTCATTGGATACCTTTAATTGGACACCCACGTGATCGCGCACCAACCACGTGACAAATAGGCGCGTAGCGAACCAACTAGAATCGAGAATTTTGTTATAGATACGATTACACCTGCACTCACCTTCTGTCTGCGGTGATGTGTCTTTCTGATGACATTTGTGTCTTAAACGAAGTTCAACTCCTAGTCCTATCTTATCAGTTGTAGTCATAAAGAAATGCCCGTGTCAAGTGTGGTACTATTTAAAATGATTTTCATTAAAATGTGGCTTAATGAAATCTGACTGTTTGTTATTTTCTGCGCCTATGAACTGCACTGTAAATAGGCTTCGTAGGGGAGCGGGAAAATGATTGGCAAACCTCTTGACAGGCAACTTGTGAACAAATACCTCCCTCTGACCCACCAGGATTGCCCGATATCGTCAGATATGAGCGTGTAAAGCAGTGATCTTGAGAGGATTCCACTTGCCTGTTGACATTTATTTCGTTAGTATCAGTAAAAGGTCAGGGGAAAATTATTAGCCTACTTGAACAGCGTTTTTTATCTCCTATTTATCAGGAAAAAACCTTTCTATATTTCTGATTGCTTATAGTTTGAAACAGTAGTTGTTCAAGCAATTAAACAAAAGCATTCTTCAAAAAGAACGCGAAACACCCAATAAGAAAAACGCGTTTGGCCCTAATTAAAGCACGTCATTACTAACAAGCCGAAAAATAAGAGATGCGACTGGGGTACGAGTCAACTGCTCGCCGCCTGTACACATAGAAGTCAGAGACGCTGGGCGCAAGCATTTCTCGACAAAGCTGCCGCTTATATATGAGGAAGTTCTACACTTTCAGGTGAAACAGGGGATAGGACAGTTGTCTGAAGAGTTACGTTTTGCGTGTACCCCGCATATGCAAAGAAAATATGACAATTGCTACCATGGTTCGTCTCTGACGTTATATTTTTGTGTTTGACCGCTGTAAAGATGGATCCACGATTTTCCAGTCTGTTTCAGGCTCTCGGCTAGCAGCCTGACGATCGAAAAAGCGGGCGGGCGACGAGCGGGATCCGGGAGAGAAAAGGATACTTCGCTTTTTTCGATCGTCCCCACTTACCGAAAGCCCGGGAGTTTTCGGACATGAGTGGCGATCAGCCGCTGCTCGCAGATAAGCCCGTTGGGCGTGACTCATTAAGGGAGGCTTAATCTGCAGTGCAAGGGGGCGATAACGAGCGGAAAACTATTAAAAAATGAGTCTTAGTGATGGAACTGTTTGCATAATCATTTCCTATTAATAACTGTGAAACAATTTCCTGCAACAATAAAACACAAGCGCTGGGCGCTGGTCGAGCGCGAGCGGTGCCTTGTGTTACAAATCCATTATCAATGCGGGTATTCGTGATTGACAAGCTCTTGTCTATCGCTAATTTTCTAATCGGGTTATTTTGATTCTGTGAACCATGAAAACGCCCTCACGAGGGGTACATTCAACCCTATCTTTGGCTAGAAGTAACATCGAATTCGCTACCATTTAATTCTTCACTTACAATTAGCGAACAAAACGACTTCATTGGCTTCCCTGAAATTAAAAAACCTGCTATGCGGCGATTAGCAATGATATTTATCTTGTTGTACATTGCAGCCTTGATTAAATTCTGATCCAATCATTTCGTCCTATGCCGTCATTCCATGAAAGCGATGTTAGAATTTTCAAAAGATTTTAATCTAGGAACAAATAAGGTATTCTTTGTACAGTACACCGCCTTTGACGCAGAGTTCAGCTCTTATTATGAAAGGTGATAATACAAGACTTTTTACGCAATTAACTACATTCAATTGGCCAAAAGCGTGTTATTAAATCTGAATTTTTTTCTAATATTCCTTCAACGCGAGACAATTAGACGTAAATAGACAGTCTTGGGTTGAGATACTTAATCCGAGTTATTATTGAAGGTTTTTCCAAAGACAATCCGTGCTGCTCACACCTTTTAGAGTTGTTTTTAGAGTCAATATTTTGAAGCTTCCGCGGTTTTTTTTACCAATTCTCATAAGCGATTTCTGCCTTCTGTTTACTGATGCCACTTTCGTCACCCCAGTGTCAACAAAATACTTTACACAACCTTGTTTCTCATGGTGACTCATTCAAACAACTCCAGACAAACAAACCGAGTTCGGGTGGCTCCGATATTGAATTCAACTCTGTGCCTTTTGTACGCTTATTGCCTCATCGCCGGAGACATAAAATTGCTCTTGAAAGCTAAGTTTAAATCGTTAATAAGAGAGCGGAAAAGGAGTGAAACTTCTTTATGGAGTTTTCAATCGAAAAATGGTATGCTTGAATGTTGTGATAGTCAGCTCACTTTCAGAACCGGCTCTGAACCTGTTGTTGTTTTTATGACAAGCTTTGATTGCGTCCATTCAACTCAGTGCGGTGAATGTGGCTGTGCTACTGTCATTACGTTGCATTAGCCTGACAGATGAAAAGATACTTTATAGCTCAGAAAAGCAGAACATCCATCTAAAAGGCTAAAAGGTCATACGAACAAACACAGTAATCGTGTTAGAGGAATGCGTGCCACCACGTATCTGCTAGCAAGGCAAAGTACATCATCAACATGTTACATCCAGAAAGATGCACAATATGTGCGTATAATCAGAAAACGTCGTTTCTTTGAGAATATGTCAAGTCTAAGGATGCACGGCAGTCAAGTGGAACAATAGAAGCGATCTGCTGAATAACTTTGTGATAGCTTAGAAACAGTGCGTCGTGACAAGAAAACATTTCGATATCCGGATTTAGAAACTGGCTAGCGTAATAGATATTCAACAACTGGATTAAATTACCCACATCAAAGGCGAAAGGCCAAAGGAATTTATCAAGACAAGAGAACGGAACTGACGGAGTAGTTTAATTATCTAAATGGAAATGAATTTGGCGTGTCAAGCAGTATATTTGATTGACCGGTGTTTTTGAGTTGACGCAAACAGTGGGTTTCCAGAAGCTTATAGAACACTGTTTCGTTGATTGACTTCGAATTCACTCATCTAACACTGAGAGCGGATTTCGAGAGTGAAGGCGACAGGATTTCAAGCTTTAATTGGAAAGGAAAGTTTACAGACTTCAGAGAGTGCGACGGCAAAATCCACTTATCAACTACTTGCTAATAGAATTCAAAAAGGTACATCTTCATTGAAAGATTATTAGCACGAAAGGTGGACGAAACGTGGCAAGGTTTTCTGTCTACACGCAATGGCCACGAACGCAAATTTCAGTTCTGCATCACCGCAGTGCACACATGATCTCGATTCACCGACTGAGCAAGTTTTCAAGACTATTGCGTACTTCATCATCATGTTCGGTTCACTGATCGGTAACGTGTTGGTCATATGTGTCGTTATTATTAACAGGCAAATGCGAACTGTCACAAATTATCTCATAGTAAATATGGCCGTGGCAGACCTTCTGATTACAGCCTTTAGCATGCCAGTGACCATTAAACTGCTTGTGACAGGACACATGGATTGGTCAAACGGGGTATTCTCTGACATATTGTGCAAGATCATCCCATTTACCCAATACCTCTCGATAGCAAGCTCAGTTTTGACTTTGACAGCAATCGCTTTTGACCGATTTTTGGCTGTCGTGTTTCCTTTAAAGCGATACATGACTTTTCAGGTATCATACGGTATAATGGTAGTTGTATGGATCGTGAGCATCGCTGTTACTTCTCCATTTCTTTACGCTCAGAAAGTCATCATGATTAAGGGAGAATGGTTCTGCATGGAGATTTGGACTCCGGCTTTCACAGAAGAGGCATCTAAACACTTGACCATTGTTATCTTCGTCGTTTTTTACCTAGTTCCACTATTAACTATGTCACTACTGTATAGCTTTATCGTTCTCAAACTTTGGGTGAGAAAAGTTCCGGGTAATCAAACCGCCGAAAATCAACGACGCTCTGATAAATCGAAGAAGAAAGTTCTTATTATGCTGATGACAGTGGTGATTCTTTTTGCACTGTGTTGGCTGCCCGTGTACATTAGCCAGTTCATTTATTTCTTCGATAAAGAGAACTTTCCTTGCGGTCCTCCGGCGGTCCTCAGTTTCATGGGTTACTTTCTGGGTCATGCAAACAGCGCAATAAATCCCACTATATATGCGATATTTAATTCTAACTTTCGCAAAGGATTCAGAGACATTTTGCTGTGTCGTTGTCGTAGGAACAGGGTAGCTCCGCAGACCAATGTAGGGTCAGGAATTGGCCGAGATGGTACTTTTGGCGGGGTTGCCTTGACGCGCGTGCGTCCTCGCGCGCCCTCGAATTTACAATAGAGCTAAAGAGGGAAAAGAAACCAAGAGTAATGTATTATCGTTCCATAAAACGCAACATTTCAAAACTTTACACTGAAGGTTGTACGTTTTATTACACATCTCACAATATCATTAGATTGACTCGCTGTGAAATAAGTCCTTTAAAAAGCCTTTGCTGGCAGGTGTTATATTTTCCAACAGAAAACAATTAGCAATTTATAACAAGCTTGAAAAGATTGTATTGCACGCCCGATTTGTGTAAATCGCAACTGTACGACATGTAAACACAGTGTATTGAAAGCCGTGTCAAGCATTAGCAGTAAGTGATGAAAATGTTTTCAAATCCTCGCACGAAACCCAACGCCTCAGGCTAGGCGATCCATTTAAATGTTTATCTACCCCCTTCAGCCGTAAAAAAGTAATTGATTTTGAATTTCCGTTACTCCATGTTGTATACTCTGTAAACTTGTCAGTATTAAAAACGTAATAAAGTTTATCATCTTTATCGAAATAGAAAAGCTTATCCGATTTCTGACTACTATCTATCTAGGTAAATGCGAACTCTTTTGAGTAGAAGAGTCGACATTGTTCGATTTGATAACGTCCAGAAAACAACAAATAAATATTTTTTTTTTACACAACAGCTCTTCATTGTGTCGTGACGAACTTAAGTAAACACTGAAGTTACATTGTCTAAAATCTAAACTGTAATATCCTTTTCCTAGTTTTAAGATTGTCAAAGCAATCACATCTTTTGATCGATGATCAGTACATTTTTTACTTTGTATCGCTAACTGACCTCACGATTAAGTAATATAATGGCATGAATTGAAGAGAGTCGCTTTTACATTTTTAATTTTCTGTACGTGAAAAACGAAAACTTTCTTCAATTTCGCATTATAAAACATCCATTTACGATGAGGATATAGAGTTTAATTATCCATTTTTTTCACACGAGGTCTGGTGAACTAGAATAGACATTGTCAGTTAAATCTGAGTCTATATTTTTACCTTTCGTTTTTAAAGGCTCGCTTTATAAGACTAAGAATTGAACATGACAGCCTCAAACTCAAAATCAAAAGGCATCAATTTTAATTGAACACTGCCTTGCATGTCAGTTTCGTAGCACAAAACTGCCAACAAATCTAAGAGTTGAATGACGATTTTACCCAGACAAAAGTTTCCAATATAAAATACTTGTCAAAAATGTTTCAGGCACTGTCAGTCCAAAAATTGCTTTCATCTTCTCTTGTTATTTCTTCTGTCAATAGTTATTTTGAGCACACATATATATCACCCTGCTGTGAGAGATTGTTCAATACTTGTTGACTTTATTAGTTCACATGCATATTGTATGAGGTTCCATGTTTGGTTCTATTTCTCGCCACAGGCGTTATGAAACAAGCGGATGTACATTTTCCATTGTGCAAAGAACGAACTGTAAATAAAGGCATTTCTCTTAGATCTAATGAGTATACATTGCAAGAAAACAATCTTACTTCCTTTTTGATTGTTAGTCATTTCTTTTAGATTTAATGAGTATATATTGCAAGAAAACAATCTTATTTCGTTTTTGATTGTTAGTGAATAAAGAAGTATTAAAAGGTTCTTTGGATCCTTTTTCTCAGTTACAGGCTGCTGTTGTCAGCAGGATGCGTAAAAAAAAGCTGAAAAAGACATGCTGAAAGAAAAGAAGGGACTAGACTAGCAAACAGTTAGACAAGTACTCAAGCAGTGGAGCACTACTCAAGATAAAGCAATTAAACTATTATTTCGTAGTTTACTCGGACAGACATTGTTCAAACTGCATGTTTTATTATGTTTAATTTTCGCTCGGTTAGGAAAATTTGGCATGAGTTGTTCAGTAGTTGTTGTCCCTAGAAAATAAACACCTCTACAGAGTTTTTGCCAAAACAAATTTACTATCACAACACCAAAATCGTTGATTCACGTGCATCTCGGCAGGCTGCCTTCTCAAAATTCACTGCCTAATAGAAATGGCTTTCTTCGTCCGGTGCTGAACAAAAACACTACGGAGAACAAAATAACAGCTTCCGTTTTATGTTTAAGTGTGCCTGCAGGGCAGTGAGGTATTTCCTGAAGTGGGACACGTACAGTTTTTAATTTGCTGCTGAATAAGATCGGAAATGTCATACTAAAAAGATTTGACGTACTGCCGACTATAAACACTCTTAACACGACCAGTACTGTCGTAAATCATTATTTAAAAGGAGCCTATAACGTCTTTTTCATACTTTATATTGTGAAGACCACAGCAAAGGAGCACGTCTCTAGTTTTCGATCGTTCTTGGATATCGCGCAGCATGTCCAAGATGTGATAAAATTTGCAAATTAAGGCTGCAAGAAATAGCCTTATGATATTTATTTCAAAAAGCTGATTCATGTAACTTTCCAAAGTCAGTTAAACACAAATCTGATGAAAATAAACATTATGAACCGAGGTTCTTGACTCAAGCATTTGACTTTACATGCCTTCGATGCACATGTACATTTGCCCCCACAAAGGGCTACTAGGAGAAGTCGATGTTCACAAAATTGTTTCGGAGGTGGGATGGGGGAGAGTTTATTCCAACGTCCAACTATAGCCAGAGGGCCGAGAGGGGGCTTCGAAAGGGTGAATATATAGGACTAACCGTGAGAGCTTTCACTATAGTTTCTGGAAATAATACAAAACGCAAATGCCGCCGTTGAAGGAACATGGTTGTGATCCCATCGGTCCAGCATTGTGAACATGTAAGTACAATCCTTCGGCAGCGCTAGCGATTCACTATATGATTGTTACAACCAGTACTAACCTTTGCATTGAGAGAAACCGCTGTCAAACGAGACCGTACTCGCAATCACTCGGTGCACTCTGGGAAGGAGATTTTGATTGTATTCAAATTCGATTCAAATATTCAAAGTGAGAAGGCGCGGAGTTTTTAAACGAAGTAAGTTAGCTACAGTTATTTGGTCGTGCTTTTGACCAAACATGTTGCTCATGTCTAGTTTACGGTAAATTGGAGGAACTCAAGCTTTGATATCTATGTTTAACCAGGTGACTAGCTGCTGATGATTGTCGCAGGGTCTGTCTGACTTGCATTACAACTCTAGCTTGAAAAGCCGGCCCACGTTGCGCGTAGTATTTCCAGTTCAAGGTAAGCTCACAAAATGTTTTTAATTGTGCTCATTATGGTTATAAACAAGTGAAAACTGGTTATGGGCGTTATAAGCAATGCTTCATTCCATTGAAAATTATGTTCACACGATTAATTATTGACCAGTAAGAGTTGTTGAATTAGGCCCTTCGGTGTACGTGAGCGAAATGCAAACTTTAGTCAGTGAAGTATCCATCACACCTCAATGGAAAATAGATATTTGTTTTGTCGGTTCTTGATTTTTTTTTTTTTCCAAAGTCCCTTGTTTTCTTGCAGCATTCCATTGCTGTTGCTCGCATTTGGGTGGATTTGCAAAACATTCAATTCTTTCCTGTCTTGAGTGAGTTTGTTGTCCATTGCACACTGATTGTTAAATTGTTTGATATTGCTGTGTACTAGTTTACTTAACAGGTAGTGGATGCTGCCTGTAAGTTAGCATGTATAGAGCAGTATGTTGCGGAGCTGAATAATTTTTTTTGTGCATAAGATACAGCAATAAAGAGGGGTGAGGCGTTGTGTGACACCTAGTCACAAAAGTGATAGGTGAAGGTGAATGAAGAGGGTTAGCAGTTAAGAAAGGGAATTATATAGCCCCCAAAAAATGGAATACCGAAATCGTGTTTTGTTGTCTTGTTCTTGTTCTGAAAAAGAATTGAAAAAATTACCAAGCCAACAGGGTAAGGCAAAACAAACGTATAACCCATAGGAAGAGAATACAGTAAGATTTCACTGGTTACTCTACTGAGAACGAGCTATGCAGCAAAAAGAGAAACAAATGTAATCTACATACATTGCTTACTGGTGAGTCCTAAGTTTGTTCACTGCTTCTAATAATCAACTACATGCATCAAGGCAGGTTAAATTTGGCTACTTGAATATCTGATTTAATGTATGGCATGTCACTGAGATGTTTAATCAGAATTCTTCTCAAGTTAAAGGTGTCATCACAAGTGTGTACTGTTAACAATTACTTTTTTGCCAATGTTTGGAAGGGGTGGTGGGCCGGCCGGGGATAGTGGGTTGGGGTGGGAAGTTGATGGCCTAATGGTTAGTCAGCTGGACTCTGGATCAATAGGTCCAACATGAAGCCCAAGCTGGGGTTGCTGTGTCATGTTCTCAGGCACGACACCTTACCCTTGCAATGCTTTTCTCCACCCAAGAGTGTAATGGTACTGGCCAATTTGTTAGGGCAACCTGACAATTGCTGAGGGTCACCTGCAATGGACTAGCATCCCATCCAAGGGGAGAAGCAACACTCCTAGACACTTCATATTACAGAAACTGGAGTGGAGCACCCGTGCTGATGATCCATCTGACTTCTCTGTTCCCTTGGGAATGGAACAGACTTTCAAGCCCTGCAGCCAGGGAAAACATCACTGGAATGTACCCATTCTTAGCCACAAAGACTGGCAGGGGGA